GGTTCGAAATTACCAGCTGCTCCGCGGGAGAAAGATGAGGCTTTCTACTCCCGTAAAGATTTACACCCTAAGAAACCCTGTACAGGGTCACTGTGGGCCGGAACTGACTCGATGGCACTTAACAACAATAGATTTGAAGAAAGAAACTAACAAATCTACCCTAATAGTGGGTGATTTTTAACTGCCTACATGGCGGCAGCCGCACCTAGAGCCTCAGCTACAAGTCAGCAGCCTCAAGGGTTCTGCTGCTTATCTGAGCAGAGAGGAATGGCAGGAACATGCTAACAAAGGACATTTTCTGAAGCTAGGGTGGCTGCTTCCAGCTGACAGGTTCACTAGGAATGAGGAACACCTTTCCTTTTGTCTCTGTGCTGCCTGAGAAAGCTGTAACCCCAAATCTAGCTTATACATACAGCGATCCACCAAGGGAATAGTGTGCACAGTCTAGACAAAGGGAACAACACATGTCTGATCAGACCCAAAGGATGGATTAGGAAGCAGAGATGTGCCAGTGACGAAGTGGTGGGGTCTGCAGGAAGCAGTGGCTGTTTTGTAAGGTGCGACATACAAAAGGACGCATGAGAAGAGATAGGATCATGTGACCCTTACAGAAAGGCTGAGCAGATTCAGATACACAGAACTTGATTTTCATCACTTAGCTATCTAAGTGAAAGGCCCATCTTCTCTTCACTATTCTCTCAAAAAACCCAGCCCAGTGCAGACACATGGTAATGGCTCCCCCAAGCACCCATCCTTACCGGGAGATGATTCAGGGGCACGTCCACCTGTCCCAGGAAGTCGTCTCTTGTCTGTTCAGAAAAGAGCAAAGAGTTAATTTTCTACCCAGTCACTGAGTGTGACATTTCATTACAAAGGAAGACGAAGATCCACAAATGGACCCTAGTGTGCAGTGGGGACGGTTCAAAGGCAGGAGGCGGCCAAGATATGGTAGAGTCAGCCAGCACCTACGAACAGGACCCCGAGATCCACTGAGCTGGTTTTTAGCTGTCTACCACTGTGGGATAATGCACTGTACCACAAAGGTCGGTTTGAACCACAAGGTTGGTGTTTCAAACTCACCAACCATACAGGGATGCTATGAGTTGGAACTGACACAATGACACTTAACACCACCAACAGTTACCCTATACAGGGTTGCTCTGAGTCGCAACGGACTCAATGGCATTTAGCAACAAATAACCACCACCATACAAAAGCCCTGATGTAGCGACCAAAAGGTCAGTGGTTCAAACTCACCAGTCACTCCTTGGAAACCCTATACAAGGTCACTGGGCACTATGAGTCAGATCCGATTTGATGGTACTTAACACCCCGACCACACAGAATGTTAGTGAATCAGTTTTTGGAGCTGGAGCCAGTGCTGACAGTTAGCAAGGGACACTTACCACATCGGGGCGAACTGGAACATTTAAAGAAATCTTGGGAATATTTTAACATATATGAGCTGATTAAGTGTCATAAATTATAAAGAGCTCACTGAGAGTCTAGAGAAAGAATATTCAGTCTGCTATAATTGTTGTTAACTGCTGTGAGTCAGTTCTGATTTATAGTGACCTCGTATGGGGTTTCTAAGGGTTTTTAAATGTTTGTGGGAGCAGAAAGCCTCATCTTTTTCCCATGGAGAAGTTGGTGGGCTCAAACCGCCGATCCTGTGGCTCTCAGTCCAGTACTTATCCTATGGAGCCATTACGCTCCAGTATTCAGCCTAGTTATTAGTAAACACAAATGACAAGAAAAAACTGGCTCCAACATCTCCAGTCAAGTACATTGCTTCAGGATTCAAGTTCAAAGAGTTAGCTACCAGTTAATTTTTAGCCTTGTTAGAAAAGGCCACCATGCTTGGTGGTGGTGGTTGTTGTTAAGTGCTGTTCAGTCAGTTCTGACTCATAGTGACCCTGTATAGGGTTTCCAACCAGTGGCTGGTGAGCTTCAGCTGCCGACCTTGTGGTTCATACTGGCCTGCAGTCCAGCGCATTAACCCTCAGTGCCACATGCGGACTTGGTAGAGGGTCGTTAAAACAAGAGGAGCCTCCATGAGATGAGTGACACACAGCTTTGACACTGGCCGTGTCTCAGTTTGTCATACACGGAGGTCCACAATGGTGGCAGGGACCTGACTCAAGGGAACTAAAATTGCAGTTTTGGACATACTGTGCCTTTTGTCTCTCCACCCACCACGAAGCGTATGCTTTTCTGGCTCAGAAGGGACTCGAATGGAATTAAGTCCAAGTTCCCTTTCAGACGCACACACCTAGGATGCCATAGCTCGGGTTCAGGGATCACTGATGAGGACCATAAGGTGTTTAGTAGGTCATGCTTATACTATATCCTGCCAATACATTACTTGTGTCAACCCCAACCCTTCATATGACCTGAGATGTGAATCGGAACACAGAACCTTCTGCTTCCCTCATATAAAAATACGCAGTTGCTTTTCACTATCCTTGAAATGCACCGTTGTTGTTAGGTGCCATTTAGTCTGTTCCAACTCACAGTGGCCCTATGGACAACAGCACAAAACACTGTCCGGTCCTGGGCCATTCCCCACAATTGTTACACTTGAGCCCATTCCTGTTGCCACTCCAGTCAAGTACATTGCTCTAGGATTCAAGTTCAAAGATTTAGCTACCAGTTAATTTTCAGCCTCGCTAGAAAAGGCCACCATGCCTGGTTGTTGTTGTTAAGTGCCGTTAATCCATCTTGTTGAGGGTCTTCCTCTTTGTTGCTGACACTCCACTTTATCAAGCATGGTATCCTTCTCTGGGGACTGGTCCTTCCTGAGAACATGCCTGAAGTAAGAGAGATGAAGTCTGGCCATCATGACTTCTAAGGAATATTCTATCTGTACTTCTTTCAACACAGATTTCTTTGTTCTTCTGGCAGTCTGTGGTACTTTTAATATTCTCTGCCAACACCATAGCCAAATGTATCAATTTTTCTATGGTCTCCTTATTCACTGTCCAACTTCTGCATGCATATTGAGGCTATTGAAAATATCATGGTTTGGTTCAGGCGCATCTTAGTCCTCAAACTGGTTTTCTTTGCTCTTGTACACTTTAAAGAGGACTTACGCAGATTTGCCTGATACAATATATTATCTAATTTCTTGATCGCTGCTTCAATGAGTGTTGATAGTGGATCCAAGCAAAATGAAGTCTTTGATAACTTCAATCTTTTCTGCATTTATCATGATATTATTTATTGGCCCAGTGGTGAGAATTCTTGTTTTCTTTATATTGAGGTGCAATCCATACTAAAGACTGTAGTCTTTGATCTTCAACAATAAATATTTTAAGTCTCTTCACTTTCAGCAAACAAGGTAGCATGACCTGCATTATCAAGGCTGTTAAATGAGTCTTCCCCAATCTTTATGCTACATTCGTCTTCCTATTCTCCAGTTTCTTGGATCATTTGCTCAGCATACAGACTGAATAAGTATGGTGAAGGAATTCAACTCTGGTGCACACCTTTCTTGATTTTAAGCCATTCAGTATCCCCTTGTTCTATGCACAGTTTCCTCATGAGCACAATTAAGTGTTCTGGAATACCCACTCTTTGCAATGTTATCTATAGCTTGTCATGATCCACACAGTCAAAAGCCTTTGCATAGTCAATAAAGCACAAGTAAACGTCTTTCTGGTATTCAAAATGCCCAAACACGGCTTACTATGGACATGTTATCAGAAATGATCAATCAGTAGAAAAAGACATCATAATTGGTAGAGTTGAGTGTCAGTGGAGGTGAGACAGGGCTCAGGCGAGATGGACTGACACACAGGCTGAAAGAGTGGACTCAAGGATACCAACAATCATAAAGATGGCACAGAATTGGGCCACGTTTCATTCTGGTATACATCCGGATGCTGAGTTAGAGCCAACTTGATGGCACCTAACAGCACAAAGCCAGTACAAATGTCAGTGAACAAAAGAGGGTTGGGAATGGCTGCACAACTTGAAGAATGCACTCAACGTCACTCAATTGTACATTTGGAAATTGTTCAATGAGTGTATATATTTGTAACAACAAATCAACTACATGGAAATTTACTGAATGCTGATCATGAAGTGTGTGTCCTACTAATGTGAGTGGAGGAATGTTGCCTCTGATCCTTCTGCCCTCCTATTCTCACCACCACTAACAATGTAAAGGAAAAGGACTTGAGATGTAGTCATCTGAAGAGCAGACCACCTAACCCAATGCTCTACTTCGGAACCTGCTATTTATGAAAAGCAACTCACAAAGCATTAATCTAAGGGCATCTGAACAAATATGCATGGGACATCTGGGTGCCCATGGTATCTGCAAGATGCTAGAGCTCTCAGCCAATACAATGAGTTCCATTTTGACCAACACCAAAAGGCAGGCACCTAACAATATGGCCACAGGAGCTTATCCTTCCACCAACCTCACCTGTGCTGGCTGGTCTTGCTCTTGCAGGCCCTATCTAATCACCACAGCAACTTCAGAATGGGGGTCCTAGGGTTTTGCGTATTTTACAGATGGGGAACCTGAAAAACATAGGTTATGTGACTTGCCCAAGGCTGCTATCTGGACAGGCTGATTCCAGAGTCAGGGCTCTTATCAAATCCTGTGTATCCATCTCAGTACACAGCAGGGAAGCCAGGCTGAGTCACATCTCTGAGTTCTGATGGGGAAGCTGGTAGTGACTGCAGAGTGTGATGATAGCACAGTTGTATGAGATTTGGGGCCCCCCTGGCTCCCACCCCGCTGCTAAAATGCGCATTAGGTATATTATCTTTAACACTTCCTCCAGTTTAGACCTTGCTCCTTTCTTCAAATGTTGTTAAGTGCCTTCCAGTATGCTCTTGAAATTCTCAGAGGCAATGTGAAGCCAGTCATCTTCACTTCTAGTGCGTAAGTTTCTCATTCATTTCAAAAGCTATTTCTAAGACAGCCAAAGATGTACCTGCCTCACCATTAAAGTAAACAGCAGGATCTTATTTTTGTTGTTTACATCAAGGGCAAATGAAATGAAATTATTTCTAAAAACAAAATAGGGATCAAATATAGAACAGCACATGGACAAAATGAATTGACTTAATCAATTTCCACTAGTCATGGGAGAATGTATTGTGAGCCAAGATCTAGGTTTCAAAACACCCCATGTGGTGCCTGGACTGTAAAAATTTCAGAAGAGATCCAGGAAGGGATCAGAACCTATCGCGGCCTTTATGCTGAGATGAGCAGCATGAATGTCTCGAGCACATCACTACTGTGCTTGTTGGTCGGTGCTGTTGAGTTGGTTCCGACTCACAGCAGAACAAAACACTGTCAGGTTCTGTAACAGCCTCACAATTGGACAAACAGTAAGAAAAGTTGGGAAAGGTGTGCTGACAGGTAGAAGCCCTCCCTACCTGTGCACCACAATGATGTCATGTTTGAGGCCACCACAACACTCTTAGCTCATCAAAGTTACAGTATGACATCTTATATCAACTTTCCCAAACCATATGCATCAAGTGAACTCTGAATCACTTCCACTATGAAATGATTTCCATCAAATATCATGTTAACTCCAGGAGTCTACAAAAAATAAATGAATTTCAGCTCCCACAATGAATACTGACATTTAAGATATTGCCCATTTCAATGACAATTGTTACCTGGCTCACTATCCTTCAGGCTGAAAATGTGCATGTGATTAACATCAGCAGGTTAGTACCAAAATGATAAAAATCCCTCTCTGGCAAGCCATCGACTATTTCTACTCCACGAACTTTGTCATTATACTAGGAAATGTAATTGGGAAAATATTTGCTGGATTGT